AAATTATAATAACAAAAATGTATTAAATGATGCAAATTAAAATAATATACCATCATTTTTATTAAAAAAGTGCTAAAAGAATATATAGTTACCTAACTTTGTTAGTATCAGTTTATTAATGATGTAAATTTTGAATCATTTTAATAAATGATGTTAACTGAAACGTAAATGTATCAATTCTTTTAATCGATATAAATTTCTATTATAGCATCAGTTATGTTAAAGTGATATAAACTAATAGAAATTAAATCACTTTAGTTAAACTGACGTTAAAACTAATTACTATTAACATCAATTGTGACAATCGATTTTATATTATAAATATTTGTATCATTTATAAATAAGTAATTTAAAATAGTATCATTTCTTTTTGTGATTTCATTTAAGTGATACAATTCAATCTTTTTTTTGTAGTGACCATGCATGAAGTTATGCTAATTAACTCTTATTAAATTATACTCCACTCTTTCTTTTTTTTTGATCAAATACTCCACTCTTTCAAATCACAAAAAGAAAAGAGAAAAAGGCAATAGGTAGCTCTGCCACAAGTCAAACTTTTTATAGATGACGAAGCTAAAGCTATGCTTCTATTCAACATTCCCCTCCTTCCTCAGCCTTTTAACTCCTTTCACATCCCTAATCTCTCACCAAAACAGTACAAACTTGGACATACTTCCAAGAGAATATGAAGAATTCAAAAAAAAAAAAAACAAGAAGGCTGATTTAAGAAACATATTTTTTAACTCCAACATGTTTTACGTATTACAATATGACTTTGTTTTACCGGAAGCATTATAAGCTTATCCTTTAGAATTCATCTTCTTTTTTTCCTACGCATAGAGATATACATACATACTTTCACAAACATACGGTCTTTCAAAACATACTCCAAACTGTTGTCTGACTCACAATCTGTCACGCTTGTGTCTTCAAAGCACCCGTGTTGGCAAAAAACATCTTGAAATGCACCCAAACCCACCTCCCCTTTTCTGCAATTCCAATTATCAACAATTTAAACCCTAATCCTTAACAATATTCGTTGAATTAAAAATTACACTAAATAGAAAAATATATTAAAGAAAATAACTCCGTGTTGCTATTTCATTTATCAATATTTTAAAACCTAAATCTTGATATAAAATAAAATAAAAAATCTACATACCTTTGTGGAGAGAAGTCGAGGGGACACCTTGTACAAGTCTTCATCCACAGGCTTCGGCTTCGTCGTCCTCCGCTTCACAACCGGTGTTGGACAGCTCCTCGGCGCGTTAGACTCACGCGCATCCGTCTTGAAGTTATGTTTCCCCTTGGAGCTGTTGCTCTTCGGCTCCTGGCCCACCTTAGCCTAAGAACAAACATTTTCCCGGGCATATATAAATCATTGCGACGAGGGAGAGTGTTGAATTTTGGAGGGAAGAACTTACCCGACGTCGAGGGAGGAGGATGACGGCGGGAGCGACAAGGTGGTGGTTGTCGTAAAGATCACGATCTTGAGGGTAAGGAGGGTAGTGGAGATAAGCAGGCTGCTGATGATGAGTAGTTGCTGTCTCGAAGCACTGAGTGAATGGTACGGCGTCGTTCCAGTCCCAGCCTCCAAACGCCGGCACGTGTCCTCTCCTGCAGTACTCTCCTCCTCCGTATTCCTGAGTAATTAAAAAAGGTTAAAAGTTTTGATAATACTCAAAAGAAGAAGAAGAAGAAAAGAGAAGGGGCTTTTACGTAGTCCATTGCTGTAGTGATGAATGAGTTTGAACTTTGTTGATGTTTAGATCTTTGCTTTATAGTAACCTAAAAAGAAAGAGAGAGAGATGGTCTTTTACATTACACAACACTGAGACAATGTTGTCTTAAAGTCTACTTGTAGGAGAGGGAGAGTCTAGGTTTAGAGAGAGAGAGTAAAGTGACAGTGAGTGATTGTTTTAAAAATATCAGTAGGGTAGAATTTAAATTAGCTACTCTTCTGCATCTTTTTTACTTTTTACAAAAATCTACTGTTTTGTGTGTTCAGAATTGTATTTATATTCAGTCTTCTGTAGTCTGTCTTTACTTTTATTTATTTATATTGTTTTACCCTTCTTTATTTTGTTTTGTTGGCTTTAGATTTTGTTTTTACATGGGGTTGACAAACAAACAAAAGAATTAACGTTACTTTAAAAGTGATTACATGGAACCAAGTTTCATGATATCTAACTTAAGCTGATTTATGCACTTGATATTATTATTTCTTTGCTAATACTATTACTGTTCTGTGTTGAAAAAGGGCAAGAATATATAGTATACTCCTACAATTTGTGTGGAGCAGATAACACTACTGATGTCTTATGGGAATATCCAATTTGAAATTAAGAGACAAAAGAGTTAATAAAGGAGCTTTAGGAAGGAAGGGCCACATGCAACATTACCTCTATTATGTAACACTGTGCTCTGTGCAGTGTGCAACCAACATTGCCACGATTCCAAGCAATCCATTTATTATCTTTTGTCAATTTCTCACCCTTTTTACTTGTAAATTCCATCTTTACAGTAATTTTTGAATACTTTTTTCATCAGAGGTTTTGTTTGACAGAGGACAGGTGGGGTTAGGTCTATTCATACCACCATAATTCAATTGCAACTGCTCATTGCAGCCTTTGAAATGGAGAAACAGTTAAAAAAACATATATCAACAGAATGGCTTTTAATAAATGCATAGAGGTTAGGTAAGGTAATCCTTAAAATCTGGTATAATGATATAATTACTTGCCTTGAGAGTTAGCATACCTAATACATGAGCGAGTTGTACTGCGTTTATCATTTTAATGGTCCTCATGGATCCATAACACGTAGCTAGACATTGGGATATAGGAATTTGAAAGTAGTATTTTATTTTAAAAGATATCGTGATGTTTTGGCTTTCAGTCTTTTGGTCTAATTTTCTTTTTCCTACTATACTCCTAAGTCTAAACGTATATACATTTCTACTATTAGTCCTTTCTATCTCGTCTATCTAATGTCTCTATCATTAATCCATTGGGTTTGTGTTTTCGTGCTGTCAATTCCTTGTTTTATTTCATCTTTTTACCAAACTCCCTTTTAGTTTTACATCATTCATCAATTGTTTTAAAAATGAGAAAATTACATGTTAATTTTTCCTTCCGTCCTTGAAAGACGTTGGATTGATTCTGATATGTTTTTTTTTCATGTATTTACTGTTCTTATAATTAAAAAGGTCATTGTTTAGTCGCTAGAAGTAGAACTAACCACATATTGGATATTCTAAATTGAAGATTTCTGATGGAATACTACCGAAATACACATTTGTTGAATCTGATTATCAGCCAGGAATTTTTTTTAAAACAAACTTATACTACTAGTTTTTAAATTGACTATAAATACACTCTATTATATTTTTAATCATTGTTCACCATGCAGTTTAACACTAAGAAATTTTGAAACAAACGTAAAATTCTGAACTGAAACTGTGTGGTTGGGTATAAATAATTAAATATAAATAAATTAAAAAATCTAAAACGATAGTTATTATGGAAATGGAATATAAAATATGATAGTTGCAAAGACACCAGGGCTAATGAACCACACATGACATATAACATCCAGAAGATAATTGTGGTCAACACATGTCACAGCTCATTAGGCAAGGAGCTAATGCGAAATGGCTATAGTAATAGGTTCTACACTTGTCACAGCTCATTAGGCTCTACACAAGTCACAGCTGGTTGTGGTCAACACTCAACACACCAAAGACCATACTATCGTGCTTTTCAATGCAACATAAGATCTAATTGCATCTATCAACCCATCAAATCTAAGCAAAGAGAGATGTTGGAAGATATCAACTATAAACGATAAATACATTATATTAGAGAGATTTTAAAACCATTGAAGAAAACGTTTCCTGGACAAAAGAATCGGCATGGTAAAATATGACTTTTACCAACAAAAATGGTAGAATAAAGGATTGAAATACAAAAATAAAGTAACAGTATTGTTTTAAAATACAGAAGATAAAAGAAAATCGAGAATCTATAAATCTGGACTATCTCAACGCTCCCCCGAACAGGGAATGAAGGGAAAGGCTACGTCCATAACTCTACATGCCTCTCTTAAGAAAATTGTCAAAGGCTACCTTTTGTTTTCTTCTTCTTTTGTTTCAACTGTTACTTTCAGTATTTTGTTTCCTTGACATTTGTGAGCAAGTCTGAAGTGTGCAGTAAACTTTTTACTAGCTTCTTTTTATTTTTCAAACGTGTGGAGTCGATGGGGGTAAAAGGACCAATGAGAGAGCAGCTAGAATTATCTTATTCTCTTCATTCTTTCCACATTCTGCCCTATTTTATACGAACTGATGTTTTTATTTGCTTTGTGGTTGACAATAACAAGTAAAAAGTAGTTATTGGTGTCTCTTCCGATTACTTACGGAATTACTCAGTAGTAAATTTTGTAAAGCCCACGAGGATTTGAGGTAAACCCCAAAGAGATCAAAGAAATATATCTTCTACATGGGCTCAAATCAGGCCCGTTTAATGTCTGATGCTAATCAATGTTACTTTTCTCATACGAAGATAATTAATTGTTTTAAAAATGTACAATGTGTAGTGTTAAGAAGCGTGGAATTTTCTTCAACCATTTGAAGTAAATTATTATATAGTGGCTTGGAAAAATGTGTAATGGATAATTGATGAATGAATTATTTTTTTTTTTTTTTTTTTTTTTTTTTTTTTTTTAATTCAACCCGAAAATAGGGAATTCAGTTTCGGTTACAAACTTGAATTGAACAAAAGCTCCCAAGTCAAACTATTACATTCTAGTTTCGCCCACCCACTAAACCCGGCACGTTCCACTAGTCCGATTTTTGAAATTCTTAGGAATCGGTTGCTGTTCTCAACCATTGACAATGATCGCGGGAAGGTGAGGTTCTCCTCGTTACCTCGGATGCCGGGACTTCCCAGGTCGTCTCCGGAGTAGCTAGCTTCCGATGAACGCCTCAAAATTTGTAACCGTTACTGCCGATGACGCGCTTGACGGACTAAAGAAATGAGGGAGTCAAGAACCATACCGAGAAGGCGCTTGAGAGCCCGAGCTATACACACTTCCAAGTCGCCACATACGAGCAAGAGCGGGTTGTTATCGCCGCCACCACCTAACCTGAAAGTCTCTAAAACCTGCATAGAAAATCAAGCAACACCACCGCAAGAAAGCCAAAGAGCTTAAACGGCGCTGGGATGTGAAGCTGAGATCAAGGGATGACACGGAGGTGGTCAATGACTCCCCGAGAACCACCTCCACCACTTGTGACCACCGAGAACCGGGAGCCAAGACTACGCTGTTTTAACCCATAACCGGTGTCAATACGGTATAGATTATACAAAGAAGCACCAATAGACCAAGCCTTGAAGTAAGCTAGCGGCCGCTAAACACAACAAGGGAAACAGGTAAGACGGCCGAGCCAAAGGAGCACCAAGATGATGCCGGAAAAAAGGAAACCTCCGGTGGCCATAGACGACCAACGGAATCCACCATTGGCTGATGGATACAACTCCCTGAAGACACGACGCAAGACTGAACAGAGATAGAAGCCAACTCCACCTGCACTCCAAGCTCTAGTCTTGCCTTCGAAACGTAAAGCCTCGAAGCTCATCTAACAACGGAGAAGAGGAGCGGTCCGATTCGACGCCGAACTGAAACCAGCGAGCCAAACCCCCAGATGAAGAACAGTCTTCAGAACCGTACACGGAGAAGATCCCCCCGAGAAGAACGAAGACCACACCGGAACTCCCCGACTGCGACAGAGAAAAAACAGAGCAATCGAAGCGAGAAAATTGATCCACTCCCAACCCTAAAAGCCGACCACCCACGAACCACCGCTGCTACAACTGCGCCGTACCTCCAGAGAACGCGAAGACCTACCAGAGAAGCCAAACCTTGCGCGCAGGAAGCTCGCCAGAGATCTCACGCAGACCCAGAGAAAACAAGCAAGGCAGAGAGACCGAACATGACACGACGAGTGGCTAAAGAGAAAACGAGTAAGAGAAAGGAGAAGCCCCGCCGGTGCCGGACGCGCGCTCACGCGGCGGCGGACCGGAGGAGAAAGTTCAAACGCGTTCTTTGTTGCAGAAGATAAGGTAGAGAGAGAATTGATGTATGAATTAGTAGTTGCAATAAGGGTTCTCTGACCAATAGAACCTCCCAATAGTGAAGTAAATATTCCAAAACCCCGTGACTAATGGAATAATCCAACAATCTGGTCACGGGTCTCTCCAAGACTTACTATATATACAGCCTTCTCATGCACACTCACATCACAAACACAATTAAAAGTTTATATAAAAAAAGAAATAAGAGAATAAAATGGCGAGCAAGAAGGTGGTTATGATGGTGATGATGATGGTAGTGGTGATGGCTACTATAGCGGAGAGGTCAGTGGCGATTGATCTCTGTGGCATGACCCGGGAAGAGTTGGATGAATGCGAACCAGCGGTGAGCAAGGAGAATCCGACAGAACCATCAACACTTTGCTGTGACGCTCTGAAACACGCTGACTACAGCTGTCTTTGTGGCTACAAAAACTCTCTCTGGCTCGGTTCTTTCGGTATTGATCCCACGCTCGCTGCTGAGCTCCCTAGCAAATGTAATATAGACAACGCTCCAACTTGCTAAGCTTTTCATGTGCTTGTTTTTCTCTAAAGTCATGTTAATGTATTCCATTTTTATATAACTATCAACAACAGTTTATATTGAACTACTTTTTTGTTGGTATGATAAAATCTATGCCCAATGGCGTTTATTGGTTGAACCCAAAGAATGGACGCATGATAAGAGAACCAAAGTGAAATCATCAGGCCCAAAACCATATAGCACACTGACACCAAACAAATAATAATTATTCTAAAATACCTTCTTATCTCTAATCTAATCACTCATTTTGATTACCAGTATGCAAATAGATAAAAGAAGCATAATCAACAAGACATTAATAATCCGATTTCTTTTTTTTTGATATCTTTCACCAAAGTATTGTCAAAAAGGGGTGAAAATTAAACATGAAACAAAAGTCATTAGCTAACCGATCCGGTTTGAGACAACAAAAAAACACTCAGCGAAAGAAGACAAGGAGAGATAAAATGCAAATGGCGTGTGAGATTGTGTGAAGGTACAATCTGGTTATTGGAAGCGGAGAAGCTGAATCGTTTTGTAACCTTACGATGAGGAATATTTGAAGAAGAGAGGATAAAAGATAAAATATTAATTAGAACAAAAAATCCATCGCCGACTGTGGGGATCGAACCCACGGCCACGGGATTAAAAGTCACGCGCTCTACCACTGAGCTAAGTCGGCTTGTTGTTTACATATCATTAGTAAATTTATATTATCACTAAAACCAAGCCACTTCATGAAAAATAAATAAAGACTGGTTATCAATATTGGTTTGGTACACAAATTCCGGTTTTCAGTTATGGAAATCTTCAGAGCTGATCAGCAAGGGCCCAATTGAAATAATGATGTTTTATCATTCTTATTAGAGAAGTTCATTGCCCACTTGGAAAATGTAAGTGATCATATAAATTTCTCAATAGATCTACGTTAATATTTTGATCAACTCATAAGATGAAATGTCATGTACTAATGATTCAAGATAGGGCATAATGAATGTAATTTCGTTTTCATGAAGTGAGCAAGCCGCAAAGCATGGCAAGGATTTTGCTTCATACTGGCTCAATTAGTACAAAACATCTCTTTCTTTCTCATTCAGTGTGTCTGGCACATGCTTTATTTCCAAATCTTCTTTTATGTGTAGCTTTTATAATACACCGTTGCAATCAGATGCTTCTTTTATACCTATATTAACACCTGTTATCTTATAACAGAGGTTACACAGTTACTACCAATTAGTAGTTGACCACAAAAAGTTATAATGATCTAACCTTAACTAGCGGAAAGTACCATAATAACACATGCATTTCTGGCATGGTTCAATTTGCTCAACGAGTTATACATAGGCCGGCACTGCAAGTTGTTATATTACAACATGTGACATATTTATCGTTGTGTCTTTTTTTAAGACTGAAACAAAGAAGGATACAAAGTAGGATTCAGATATGGAATACAATAGCTGGCAGGTTCCAAACCACCAGAGAAAAAACCCTAACAAACATTGAGACATAACCGAAACAGGAGAGACTAAAAAGAAAACCAATCAAAACAGAGTTGGGAGAAAATCACCAGCCAGACACATGCCATAAACCAGAACAACACAGACAAAAGAAGCTAGAGAATATGATTTAAGTAAGTGAACGGAAAATACAGCAAACTGTAAACAATCTTATTGGGATAAAGAATATGATTACACAGGTACATATATTAGACATTACATACATATTATGTATTATGCTAGGAGAAGAAAAATACATGACAAAGTGCAAAACATAAAAAAAAAAACAAAACATTCTATCACCTGTGATCGCTCCAACAACCGAATCTCAACATTCCATACAAAACCCTCCGACACTTGTTCTCACTTCCACTTCAAAACAGACTGAATAAATCAATCGGGGAAGGTGTATGTGTTTGTGTGTCTTCAATAATCCATGATCATCTAAAATTTTCTAACTTGTATAACTTTATAAACACATCTTCATTACAACTTTCCTCAACCCTTTTTTTGGCTACACAATATTTCTCCCAACACTTTCATCTACTTCATAGAATTGTAACATAGACGACCGAATCTGCACACAAAACACATTACTATAACAATTACATATCAAAATAATGACCATAGATTCAAATCCATTACCTTGTTATCCCCACGAAACTCATCCTCATTCTCAACAGCAACACAATCTCTAGGCGTCTCGAACAAAGCCATAGAGTACTGCTTACGAACAACTCCGACATCAAAGTATATAACTCCCGAGCTAGGTATGTCCACACGGATCCCTTTAACCGGAAACCAAAGAAAAAGCTCCTGCGCAGTTATACCCGTTAAACCACCGATGCTTCCGTAACCTATCGTACCCGTAATATTAGCCTCGTAATGTATCTCGCTCTCGTACTTAGCCTTACACGATCGGTTTAGAAAAACCGAGAACTGTCCTGTCTTGGTGTCCACGTTAAACTCCTTTACACCTTTTGGTAATAGCCCCATTGGTAACGCGTGTGCTTTAAGGACGTCGTAGATAGAATCATTCTCGGCGAGGATCGAGATCGTAACGGAGGAGATGATGAGAAGATGAAGAACACGATGCATCTTGTGTTTGCTATGTGATCAGAGAGATTAGGGTTTAAACGATGGAGGAGGAGATGAAGGAAGAAGAAGACATTGATGACAGCTTGAAACAGAGTATAGATCAAGAATTATTGTAAGGAAAAAAAGGAAGAGGTACGAATCTTGTGTTTCTGTGTTCTACATGTCGGAAAAAGGAATCATCCAATGAGAGGAGGACACGTGGATTAATAGTACTGTAATTGCCTTGGAATAAGAGGGTTAAACATTTATGATCTGTCTGTCCTGAAAGATGATTGGGCCTAGACGTTGGAAAATTAATGGACTGTGCTCACATGGGAAGTGTGTTGCGGGAATAGAACACGCTCGGTTACTGTGCGTGGGAAACAAACGCGAAGGTCTCCGTGATTGCGGCTTGGATAGAAAAAAGGAAACGTGGAGGCGCGTGATTGCGATTGGCAGAAAGGTTTTAATCTGACAAAAGGATCTTTTTCGAAATAATCCAGAGATAATCTTTCATTTGCATGGTGTTTGAGGTGAAAATGGTTCGAAACAATATAAAGAGAGAGATGAGGGCGAACAAAGACGTTTTATTAGATCTGAACAAGGAGTTACAAAGAGAAGAGTAAAGAGGCGGACTAGCCGGAAATACAAGGTGGTGAGTAAATGGGAAGGTGACTAAACAGGAAGGTGAGTAAACGAGAAGGTGACTAAACGGGAGGTGAGTAAACCCTAGATCTAACCACCTAGTCGCTAAGAAACCCTAGATCTAGCCGCCAAGTGAGTATGTCCAATTCCGGATCCCCTTTTCTCTTTGCTGCTTCCTTGCTTATATAGACCATGTCTGTATGTTCGCCCTAATTTGTCCAGGCCTTACTGGGCTCTACTCCTGTTGGGCCCATTTAGCGTATCCGGGTAAACCGTCTTTTCCTTAACCTTCTGGAATGCTCTTCGTTACGCTCCTAAACACGTCGTCGTTCCGAGTCGCTTCCAATATGGTTAATGGGCCGAACACGTCATTACGTTGGACTAAATTCTCCCATTCGATGGGCCTTGTGGAGGAGTATAATCCATCTCCCACACATGGCTGCATGTGCGTTTCTTGATAGGATTGTTTAGTCTCGAAGTTGTGAACTTCGGTCAAAACTCTATTCATTACTAATTCTAGACAGTTGTTTGTTTCTTTGTCTTGTTACCATCTGTTCTTTACAAGAAATTTTCAATAATCTCACATTCTTACATTATTAAATTATATCGGCAAGTGACGCAATTAGAAACAAACAATGTTTATCAAGCGGTAAACGGTAAACCTATAATCAATAATCAGAACGTTCAATACATAATATGTTTTACCGAGGAAATCTAACTCAAGGTGAAAACATGCGTGCGAAAAGATAAAAGAAATTAAGAAAAAAGATGGAAGATATACTCTATGGTCTTGAAGTTCAGTAGTTTAGGGATACTTAACATTATAAGTGGCAATTCAATTGATTAGTTTCTAACTTAATGTTCCTCATGGACGAGAAAACAAATACAACCGCTGCATATATTCATAAGGAGTAAGGACTCTGATCCTATTTTCTCTGAGAGTTCACTAGCTCAACATATGTTACTTGAAAATCAAAACACATATAATATTAAAATCATTACTAATTAGCTGTAAATCGTTAGGAAAGCAAGTTGGTGGTCAATCTATGACAATAACATGAAAATATCCGATCAGTAACATACAGCAAGTTGATACCTACACTCACTTATACTTCGTTTCATAGATGAGTAGTCAAAATTAGACAATTGAACATGTGCTTATCCATAAATAAACATAAGGATAAGAGAGTATGCAAAATAATTAACATAAACAAGGTTTCACCACAAAACATCATTCCTAGCTAAATTTATTAGAACATGATATTAAGTAAACTATTCATTCCATAGCTAAATGATGGGATATGGATATATATATCATGAATATCTTGCCATATTGCAACACTAGAAGACAATGAAATACAAATAGAAAGAAGAAGAAAGAAACAAAAAACCAAGCTGGAGAGGTTGTCGTCATTATTTTCCACTGCATATCAATGATGTTCCGGCGACTTCTCGGAGGCTTTCACATGGCTTTCCGGAGTCTCTCCATTTCCCCATAACCTTTCTCTCTAATCCTGCTGAAGCCCTAAACCCTCCTACATTTGGTTTTCTTGTTTAGGAAGTGATCATTCTTTTAGCTTAAAATGAGTGGATATATTTAGAGTAAAATTTTAATTTCCAATTGTTTACATGCAAGCATATGGTGGAGTAAATCAGATTCTTATCTGTCTCAATTAGGTCTGGGATTTTTGTCCGAACCGAATGGGCCGAACTGGACCGAACCGTTTTTTCGGTTTTCATTTCGGTTCAGTTCGGTATAGTTTTAAAAATTAATTCGGTTTTCGGTTCGATTTTCGATTTTCAGAAAAAAATTAAAAATGTTAAAAACCGAAAATAACCGAAAAACCGAACCGAAAATAATCGAATACCCGAAAATAACCGAATTTAACCAAAATAACCGAATTTAACCGAAAATATCCGAATATTTTGGAAAATTATACCAAAATTAACCGAAAACTTAAAAATTCGGTTATTTCGAAAATAAAATTGAAAACTGAAATAAACCGATAACCGAACTGAACCGAAATTTCATTCGGTTTATTTCGGATTTTTTTTTTTAAACTTCGATTAACCGAAAACCGACGGTTCGGTTCGGTTTCGAAAAACCGAAGTCGCAGGCCTAGTCTCAATCAATACTTAATAACTGAGTGATCCCACATTTGTAAACAAGAACGTAGACCAGTCCTAAAGCTCTCAACTACTTTATACTTTTAAATCATAAAAAACAATTTATTTTTTAGCTGACTAGATCATTGTCTTTTTTTTTTTTTTTCAACTCATTGTCTTTTCTTAATATGAACAACTTGACAAACGAAATAAGTAAAGTTATAAAGGGCATTTATTAACGTTGTGGTCCGCAAGAAAGTCGACTCTTAACTCTTAAGCCTATAAACTTTATGAACATTATTTTCAAATTTAAAAAACAAAGATCTCGGGGGGTTGATTTGAATATATTCTAAAAGATTGTCGGCATTATAATAATATATCTGAAAAAGTGGGACCCAACAAGTATTGTGCTCTTTTGGCGCCTTGGGCTGTAATCACATTCTCTTGATTCTCTCTTTCTCTAATCCTCCACACACGGTTAAAAGCTTTTCCCACTTGGTCTCTGCACATGTCTTCTCCGAGTAAACAAAGCTTCCTACAGAAAGAGAGAGACAGAGAGGAAGAGATCCAATGCGGTCCTCTCCACCGCACTTACCGTGCACTTCACTGGTGGTCTTGTTCTTGTCGGTGGCAACTGTCTGCTTTGCCGCTGACCCTTACGTTTTCTTTGACTGGACTGTCTCTTACCTCACCGCTTCTCCTCTAGGCACTCGCCAACAGGTTCCTCCTCTTTCTCTCTCTCTTAATCTCTCAACTTCAATTCTTGAGAGCAATGTATCAAGTTCTTGAGATCTCGTTGTAGGTCATTGGCATCAATGGACTCTTCCCTGGTCCCATTCTCAATGTTACTACGAACTGGAATGTGGTTGTGAACGTGAAGAATAATCTTGATGAGCCCTTGCTTCTCACATGGTATGGTTGGTGAATAGTGATTCTTGTTCAAATCTTGTGGTTACTAAACATTATTTTCTTGATTTTGTAGGAATGGAATTCAACATAGGAAAAACTCATGGCAAGATGGTGTTTTGGGCACAAACTGTCCTATTCCTTCTGGTTGGAACTGGACTTATGAGTTTCAGGTCAAAGACCAGATTGGTAGTTTCTTTTATTTCCCATCTACAAATTTTCAGAGAGCAGCTGGTGGTTATGGTGGGATCATTATCAACAATAGAGACATTATTCCAGTTCCTTTTCTTTTGCCTGATGGAGATGTTACTCTTTTTATCAGTGATTGGTACACTAAGAGCCATAAGGTTTTACACAATAATATCTGAAAGTTTCTTTCATTGTTAGTTATCTCTCTTTTGCTAACATCTCTCTTCTTTATCAGAAGCTGAGGAAAGATGTTGAGAGTAAGATTGACTTTGGAGATCCTGATGGCATTCTCATCAATGGGTTTGGACCATTTCCTTTTAGTAGTGAGGTTGCTTCGAAAGGGTTTCCTTATGGGACAATAAACGTTGAACCAGGTATCCTTCATCTTGATGGCCTAATGTCAAATTGTATCTAATGTAGTTCAACAATCTCATAGATATGATCAATGTTCAAGAAATCGCTAGGCGGTAGTTAGGTTATTTATATGAGATTATTCATTAGGCGAACGAATAGTTCACATTTTTTGAGCGCCTAAACCAATTTAAAAAAAATGTTTTAAAAAATCGGTTTGTTTAGGTCCGATTTACCGACTAGATGGACGCGTTGCCTAGACCGATTTTTAGGACACTGGATGTGGTACAGTTTATAATATGATTCTTCTTGACCACTTTCATTTACCAGGAAGGACATACCGTTTCCGTGTTCATAACAGTGGCATTGCAACAACCTTGAACTTCAGAATACAGAACCATAACCTACTTCTTGTTGAGACAGAAGGTTCATACACAGTTCAACAGAACTACACAAACATGGACATTCATGTGGGACAATCTTTTTCATTTCTAGTCACTATGGATCAATCCGGTAGTAACGACTACTACATTGTTGCCAGCACAAGGTTTACTAAAACACCATCCTCCTCTGCTAAAGCCACTGGAGTTGCTATCTTGCACTACTCTAGCTCCCAAGGACCAGCTTCAGGTCCACTCCCTGATCCTCCTAATGAGTTGGACACATCTTTCTCAATGAACCAAGCACGTTCCATAAGGCTGAATGTCTCAGCTGGAGCTGCTCGACCAAACCCTCAGGGATCATTCAAGTATGGTCAGATTACTGTAACTGATGTCTACGTGATTGTGAACAGACCACCTGAGAAGATAGATGGGTGGTTACGTGCTACTCTTAATGGTATATCGTATTTGCCTCCTTCAACACCTTTGAAGCTTGCTCAGCAATACAATATCTCAGGGGTGTATAAGCTGGATTTTCCGAAAAGACCGATGAATAGGCATCCTAAGGTTGATACCTCTGTCATGAATGGGACGTACAAGGGATTCATGGAGATTATATTTCAGAATAGTGACACTATTGTTAAGAGTTATCACTTGGATGGTTATGCATTCTTTGTTGTTGGGTAAGGTTGCATTTAATTATATGATATCAGATTCATTTACATGTCATGAAGTTGATTTTGATGTTTGTTTTGAAGGATGGACTTTGGTCTGTGGACAGAGAATAGTAGAAGCTTATACAACAAAGGGGATGGGGTTGCTAGATCAACTACTCAGGTGTTTTGTCTTTGACAACTTAAACTGATATGTTGCATGAGTTTCTCACATGGTTCTAAACTGCTGCTTGTGTTTACAGGTGTTTCCTGGTGCATGGACGGCTATTTTAGTGTACTTGGACAATGCTGGCATGTGGAACCTTCGAATTGACAATCTCGCCTCATGGTATCTTGGCCAAGAAGTGTACTTGAATGTAGTGAATCCAGAGATTGACACATCTGAGAATTCCATTCCTCAAAACACCATATACTGTGGTCGGCTCTCACCATTACAAAGGTAAGATTCTCAAAAACACAAGATGCTCTTGTAATAGTATTTATAAAACATGCTCTCTCATCAGTTGAACATATCTTCTCTATGTAAACTTGCTGGATCCTTGTTTTTTTAACATTTAATACTCGCCTGAGACAATTTCATTGTAGACCAGTTTTTCTAGTAATAGTAGGTCACATATAGTAATTGATGGAGATGTAACTTGTTGTGATGAGCCTTTGTCTTGGTTTGCTTTCAGGGATCAGTCACAGAGGGTAAACTTCTCGGGATCAGCTAGATCCATATTGGCGACAAGCAGAGGGATCCTCCTTGTTCTTTTTGCAATCTTGATTAGTACTTTAGCCAGATGAGACTTTGAAGTTTTCAAGCAGGAGAGTAGGAAGATGCCAGCCACTACCATCATTATTAGAAGTTGATAATGTTGGTGTAGTAGCTTGAAGATTAGAGATGCTGTTTTGCTAGTTATGGTGTAGAGATTATTCAGCTATCCATCAAGGCATCAAAATGTATGTTTATGCTTGAATTGTAATAGAATATTATTTTTCAAGTTGATAGCTAACTATGGTGGATAGAAGAACTTAGTTACTAAGACAGCAGTAATCTTGTTTGTAATAACCAACAAGATTACTGATTCTACTGCCAAGAATTTTGTTAAGGACATCTCAAAAGATACTATTATGTCTTTATAGGACTATCAATCCGTTGTGTGGAAGTTGAATCTCAAGCCACCCTTTCGCCATCTCGTTTAGCCTCCCATGTACTCTCAGATTTAAGATTTCTCTGGACAACTTAGGCGCCAACTCGTCACCCTTTTGAAACATCTGAAAACATGGTTTAAGGCCAAAGTATAAATAAGATTGAAGAATAAAGAAACTGATGAAGATAAAGAAGGATTTACATACAAATCCAAAACCATTAGTGATACATTGTGTCTTGACCATGAAAAACATTTCAGGATTCTCCCCAAGGAGGACTTTGAGGTATGACAACTCATCAACAACAAACGTGACAGTTTTGTTCAGCATAACTGAGTATAGAAACATGTGAGCTAGAGTACTTGGAAAGTGGAAGCAAACCTGTAAAATACTCAGTGATTTCACGATCACATAATGTTCTCAAAACGTAGACTTGTATTGCAAGGCAACGGCAATACCAGAATAAGAAACGATATGGCAAGAAGTGACAAGCTGTTGTTACTTCAATATGGGAAATGAAGTAATTGCAAGACACATATTTGATCAAAATATATTACATCTGCAACTTACAAGCAAGAATTGGTCAAAACATCATTTATATTTACAGACGTGATCATCTGGTTTGAATCAAGCAATAATCATGTCACTTTGGAGAAAAAAGGGCAAGGTCATTAGGTGAGGCTCTAGGTCAAAATCAGAGACGAACAACATCATCACACATAAAGAGTCGGCCACCACAAGACACAAGACACACGAGCAGCATGCAACTTCTTTTGTTACTGTTACACACAAGAACAAAACCATCTACTTCACTTGTATGGACCTTTTGCTATATTTGAATCAGTTTCTATCTGTTAAGTTGAGCCATCTGCACTGCGTTTGCACCAAAGGGGTCATCGATGGGAATGGGATGGTTAGTTCTTGCAAAGAGGATCCTGAAATGTACAAATCTTCGCGAGAGAAATATTTTGATGGAATTCATAAGATCTTCCCATCTATCACGTAACCAGATTATGAGAATTACTGCAAGAGCAAAAGCTGAAGACCCTCCAGTGATCATAAACAGCCCGCGGAATCTGTAAAGGTTTATAGGTTCTGATGTATCATCTATTATGTATGGAAGTCGATTGTCAAACCATGCTTTTGCCATCTCGTTAAGCTTCCCTTTTGTCCTTAGCTCCGAGATTTCTTTGGACACCAAATGCACCAACTCGTCACCCTTTTGAAACATCTGAAAACATGACCAACACCTTTTTGTCAGCAAGTGAAAAAGAAGATGAAGATTAAAAAAATGATACATACGAATCCGAAACCGTTGGTAGTTATTTGTGGCTTGACCATGAGAAAATGATCAGGTTTCTCTCCAAGGAGGACATTGAGGTATGGCAACTCGTCAATAATGAATGCCACGGAGCTGTTCAACAAGGCTTTTGCATAATCTGTAGAGTTATCGAGGCCTCTGACATTCGTTGCATTGATGTTGGTACTAGCTAGGCTCGCATTTGCTATGAGTGAGCCCGAAAGGTGACCTATAAAGTCTTTGTTGGAGTTGAATCGTATTTGTTGCACTGTCATCATTGATGTCAATGTTGCAGTGTAACTCGTTGTCAGTATCAGTACTGCAAATACCCAAACTGTAAC